ATTGATGCATTTGAGTTATGGTGTTGGAGGAGAATATTGAAAGTGCCATGGGCTGCCAAAAGAACCAATAGATCCGTTTTGGAAGAAGTGCAGCCGGAGTGCTCCTTGGAGGCCTGGATGACCAAATTTCATCTCTCATACTTTGGACATATTGTCAGGAGTGACCAGTCACTGGAGAAGGATATCATGTTTGGTAAGGTGAAGGGTCAGAGAAAAAGAGGAAGACCCCCCAGTAAGATGGATTGACAAAGTGGCATTATCAGTGGGCTCAAGCGTGGCAATGATAGTGAGGTTGGCCCAGGGTCGAGCAGTGTTTCATTCTGCTGTGCATAAGGTTGCTATGAGTTAGCACCGACTCGATGGCACCTAACAACAACAACAACAAATCTTTACAGGAACAGACAGCCACATCGTTCTCCTGTGGAGCAGCTGGTGGGTTTGAACTGTCAACCTTTTGGTTCGTAGTCCAACTCGGAACCCAGATATTGGTTTGACCCCCTCTCGAAACTAAATTTTAGAGTTTGGCCATCATCAACGTATTCTAAATATTTATCACGACCTCCTCATTCTTAGCAGTCTCAGGAGTTAGTACTAAAACCTGAGTTTACTGATCCCTCCCCCACCATTTCCTTCATTGCTCCTAAAGTTTCTCTGCTCAAACTTTTACTTCTGTTTTTCCATCTTCTTTTCCTCTCTTTTCTCTTCCCAGCTCTTTATTCCTCCCCGCCTCCCTAGTTATCTATCGCCAATAGAGTGACTTATAATTGCTTTATATTGGAACCATAATTCTCAAGCTTGCCAAAAAGGTATTCAGAAGCATGTGTATGCGCTTTGGGATTAAAAAACTTTCAGTTGGGAAGGATTGTACTACCATCAATCCCTTACAATACTTCAGAGGATTATTATGAAAATAAACTTAACTTTGAAGTATATGTAATATAAATGTCACTGAATGAATTATAGTTTCTGTAATTATCTTCTGACCTGATTTCTCGGCCATTCTGGGTAGGATGATAGTGACGAGCGCAAGCTTTGGAGAGTAACCGCTTCAACTCCATGTTCTACCACTTTCAGTTAGATGATCTCTCACTGTTTCCTCCTCCACAAATGGTGATAACTTACAGTACCTCTCTCAGAGTTGTGAAATTTAAGTAAAAGTGTGCCTGGTACAGCGTAAGTACTCAATAAAATTCATATAATAGTAATGATACTGCTAATCATTCTGTCATTGTTATTTTTGGCCTGGAATCCTCCTGTATAATTTTTTAATTTTTGAAAAATTTAAGATGTTTTGCAAAAAAATTCTAATTTTACACATAATGAAAGTTGCCCCACAAGTCTTTTTTTCTTTTCCTTCTGTTTTCTTGTCCTTGACTAATGTTAGTACCTTATCAGATTCTTCTCCCATGACACTCCCCAAAAATCTCCTTAGAGTCCTGGTGTGACGCTGTGGGTTAATGCACTAGACTAAAGCCGTTTGAACTGCAAGGTTGGCTATTCAAGCTCACCAGCTGGTCCTTGGAAACCCTATACAGGGTCGCTTTGGGTCAGAACCACTCAACGGCATTTAACAACAATAACAACAGGGATCTTCATAATTTCCAACATCCCACTCCTTCATTATCACCTACTGACTATACAGAGAAGCTTCAAAAAGTTTGTGCAAAAATTCCATCCTCTTTCAATTTCATTTTTCATGGACTTTGTGAAATCCCCCATTTCTCTTAGCATCCCAATAACTACATCCTTCCAATTTTTTGAGACCAAATTCCTGCATCCATCTTTGCCCCTCTTCATTTCCTTACTTCCAAAGAGGAAGCCCTTTGCCAGTGGGGATAAGGTACAAATGCTGGTATCACCTCTCTTTTCTTTCTGCTTCCCCAAATTGGACATTCTATTTTCTTTTCCTCAACTAACCTTAATCCTCCAATTAACAATTTTTAAAAAGTAAAAGGTTGTCATTTTCACTGCCCATCAAAACACAAGCAAACAACCAAATCCATTGCCATCCAATTGATTCTGACTCACGGATGATGGATGGCAACCCCATGTGTTACAGAGTAGAACTGCTCTGTAGGATTTCTTGGGCTGTAATCTTTACAAAAGCATATTGACAGGCCTTCCGTGGTTGGTGCCACTGAGTGGTTTCTTTCTGGGGAGAAAGTATATTGTTATGTCTCTGCACTGTTTGACCATAAGGATGTCTTTAACAGAGGATACTTAATTAGTTTTGTGTATCTTCCCAGACTATTTGTCTCATTGATACTCACTGGCACAGCTGTTACCTTTTGTTAAATGCTGAGAGAAGTCTGTATTGAGTAGTTAGTAGCTACTGTGTGTTGTTGTTAGCTGGCCCCATGTACAATAATGAGATGGACTGTTTTCAAACCATTGTGATCTCCCATAATCCCTCTACAAACACACACACACAATTCAAAGGTTTCTGAAACTAGTAGTTAAATATTCTAAGCATCAGCTTTGGCTCTCCACAGTGCCATTGGTTATCACTTAACTGGCTTAAAGCAAATGCTTTTCATCTGGTGCATCACATCAGTCTCCAATGCACAAATCAGGTTGTCCCACTGGAAGCACCTCTGGGAGGCTATGGACATCAAACCACGTAGGGCTTTGAGGTTTGAAACAACATAGAATATTTGTGTGGGGGTATGTTAAATTGCATTGCAAAAAAATGGAAGGGAGAAAAAGATTAAGAAAAGAAAGAAGGAATAGGAAGCTGTATATAGCTGGTCTTTGTACTTTCTGTACCTATCCTAATGCTGGTACATAGCATACACATACAGCAGGGAAATTGAGTGAAGGAATGTATGAATGAATGGGTGCAGGCCTCCTGCTTCTACTCCTGTGAGGATAATGATAACTCAGACTTAAGGTCACAGTTTCAAGCTTAAGAATGGGGCTTTGCATCTTGTATATTCCAATTATAAATCACACACAACTTTTGCTTTAATTTTCTCTCTCAAATGCTGATGTTATTAAGTGCTGTCGAGTCAGTTCCATCTCATAATGACCCTGTAAAGGGTTTCAGGGTACAGCTGGTGGGCTTGAATCACTGACCTTGCAGTTGGCAGTCCACTGCTTATCTTACAACTCAAATGTTGTTGATGTTGTTAAGTGCCGTCAATTTGGTTCCGACCCATAACGACCCTGAGCAGGGTTTCCGAGGCTGTAAATCTTTGTTGTTGTTGTTGTTAAGTGCCGTCGAGTCGGTTCCGACCCATAGCGACCCTGTACAGGGTTTCCGAGGGTGTAAATCCTTACGGGAGTAGAAAGCCTCATCTTTCTCCCGCGGAGCGGCTGGTAGTTTCAAACCGCTGACCTTAAGGTTCGCAGCCCGATTCGTAACCACTACGCTACGGGGGACAGAAAGCCTCATCTTTCTCCCACGGAGCAACTAGTAGTTTCAAACTGCTAACCTTGCAGTTCACAGCCCAATTCATAACCACTACACTACCAGTGCTCCTTACAATTCAAATGTAGTAGATCTACAAAAATTTTCCAAAGAACATATGGAGTTTGCCAAGAAATCTCAGGTGAGGAGAAGAAATTTTTACTAATGGAGAACAAGGGAGGTGAGATTTGTTGTTAATTCCTGGGCATTACAGAAGGAGCCGCATTGTGCATCACCAGTTCCCTCCTGCTTCTATTTCAGGCATGTGCTGTTTCTTGCCTCGCTACCTTTGCTTGTGCAAAGACCTTCTCCCAATCTGTCCTCCCCACTCCCTGCCCTCACTGTTCACCTGCCAACTCCTATTCACCAAGACTCTCCATCCGTCCCCAACCACCTCCCCAAGTTGGATTAGGTTCCCTTCCTTTGTGTACCCTGATGTCACACACCATGTTCTGCTATAGTTAAATTGATGTCCAACTAGATTGTAATCTCTTTGCCAGAAAGGTTAAGTTTTTGTGTCTCCTGTTGCCCATTAGAGGAGAGGCAACATCTGCACATCCCTCAATCCAAATCTCAAAGGGTGAGACCTTTTTAACAGGCTCTCCAGGCAATCCTTGAACAAATTTGAAACCCACTGTCATAAAACTAAAACATTAATTGAATGATTATATTTTGAGGTGTTTGTGTCTTTTATGCGTTGGGCTTTGTAAGAAGAAATACTTTTGATGCACTGGGTCAGAGCTGAAAAATGCTAGTGCTATTGTAAACGATAATGAGATTTGATGCTTTCTACATTCATTCTGTTTCTGGGTATGCAATTTTATATGCAGGCTTATCTGCCCTGGACCTCTTTTGACACATACCTGCTCCTCCGTGAGTTGAGACCCAGACTCCCTTCCCACTGAGTATTTTTGGGGAACAAAAAGAAGAGGTGGTTGTCTTTGAAGATGAACTCAACAGAACACCTTCCGGATGCTCCCAATGCCACCTCACTCCGCGTGCCTCACTCACAGGGGGAAAACAGCACCTCTCTCCAGGAGGGCCTCCAGGACCTCATCCACACAGCCACCTTGGTAACCTGTACTTTTCTCCTCATCATCATCTTCTGTCTAGGCTCTTACGGCAACTTCATTGTCTTCTTATCCTTCTTTGATCCAGCTTTCAGGAAATTCAGAACCAACTTTGATTTCATGATTCTGAACCTGTCTTTCTGTGACCTCTTTATTTGCGGTGTGACTGCACCCATGTTCACCTTTGTGCTGTTCCTCAGCTCAGCCAGGAATATTCCCGATGCTTTCTGTTTCACCTTCCACCTCACCAGTTCGGGCTTTATCATCATGTCCCTGAAGACAGTGGCAGTGATTGCCCTGCACCGACTCCGCATGGTGTTGGGGAAACAGCCCAATCGCACAGCCTCTTTTCCCTGCACTTTGCTCCTCACTCTGCTTTTGTGGGCCACCAGTTTCACCCTTGCCACCGTGGCTACCCTGAAAACCAGCAAATCCCACCTCTGCCTTCCCATGTCCAGTTTGGTTGCTGGAGAAGGGAAAGCCATCCTGTCTCTCTATGTGATTGACTTCACCTTCTGTGTTGCCGTGGTGTCCGTGTCTTACATCATGATTGCTCAGACCCTGCGGAAGAATGCTCAAGTCAGAAAGTGCCCCCCTGTGATCACAGTTGATGCTTCTAGACCACAGCCTTTCATGGGGGTCCCTGTAAAGGGAGGAGGAGATGCCATCCAGTGTACCATGCCAGCTCTATACAGGAACCAGACTTACAACAAACTGCATCACATTCAGACCCATGGATACACCAAGAGTCCCAAACAGCTGCCAACTCCTGTAGCCAGCCGGCTCCAGCTGGTGTCAGCCGTCAATCTCTCCACTGCCAAGGATTCCAAAGCTGTGGTCACCTGTGTGATCATTGTGCTGTCGGTCCTGGTGTGCTGTCTTCCACTGGGGATCTCCTTGGTGCAGGTGGTTCTGTCCAACAATGGGAGCTTCATCCTTTATCAGTTTGAACTGTTTGGATTTACCCTTATATTTTTCAAGTCAGGATTAAACCCTTTTATATATTCTCGAAACAGTGCAGGGCTGAGAAGGAAAGTGTTCTGGTGCCTCCAATACATAGGCCTGGGCTTTTTCTGCTGCAAACACAAGACCCGACTTCGAGCCATGGGGAAAGGGAACCTCGAAGTCAACAGAAATAAGTCCTCCCATCATGAAACAAATTCTGCCTACATGTTGTCTCCAAAACCTCAGAAGAAATTCATAGACCAGGCTTGTGGCCCAAGTCATTCTAAGGAAAGTGTGGTTAGCCCAAAGATCTCTGCTGGACATCAACACTATGGCCAGAGCAGCTCAACTCCCATCAACACTCGGATTGAACCTTACTACAGCATCTATAACAGCAGCCCTTCCCAGGAGGAGAGCATTCCACGCAACTTACAGCCAGTGAACACCTTTGGATTTGCCCATTCTTACATTGCCATGCATTATCACACCACCAATGAATTAATGCAAGACTATGATAGCACTTCAGCCAAGCAGATTCCAGTCCCTTCCGTTTAAAGTCCTGGAAACTAGAGAATCTAATTTCATTAAACTAGTCTTGTGTTTTTTTTAACTTTTGTGAGATGAGTGGTAGATCAAAACTTAAAAATGCAGCTAAACCACAGGAAGTAACGATTTTCTTTGGTCTGAATTATTCATATCTATTGATTTGCTTTGTAGTTCTTTTGACATTTTAAGATTTGATGTAAAAATTTATTATTTAGATTTTTTACCCTGACCTGTGTCCCAGTCTTTTGTACTGATCCTTTAAATAGATCCCAGGAGTCATTATACTACTATGTTAGAGTACAAAAATCAGTTGATTATAAGCTGAGTCAGTGTGATGGGTCTTTGAAGTATACATTGACTGCATTTTTAAAAGACTGCAAAGGTATGGTTTTTGGTGGAGGTGTCATTTTTATTAATATATTTCAATTTTTGATTCTTTGAGGTATTGAAATAGGAAACTACTTTTTTTTTTTTTCCTAACAGGCTTATTTGAATAAATAATATATTGTTAAAGCAGAAAATCAGAAATATTTTATCTATTACTCTACCCTCCTCCAAAATCCACACAAGTATTAGATATTACGTACTTTCCTTTTACAAGACAGTCTGCTGAGAATGTATTATAATTATTACCATTTCTAATTATAGGTATTATCATTTTGTGTCAATTGAATAGACATAGTTCTCAAAAAGAAATGTGTTTACTTGTTAAAAATGATTTTTTTTCTATTTTGGAATGATGCCATCCAAGAATACCAAGGAAGAGGACTGTATCTATTGTTGAAAACTGACAAACCAGTAAACCAGTTGTCATCAAGTTGAGTACAACTCAAGGCAAGCCCATGTGTGTCAGAGTAGAACTGCACTCCATTGTGTATTTTGGGAAGTAAATCACCATGCCTCCCTTCTGAGGGGACATTCAGTTAGTAGCTAGGTGTATTAACCATCTATACCACTCAGGAGTGCCATCTATAGTAGAGGGACGCTCTTCTTGGAAAAGGAAATGCTACTGCGGCCATCTTAGGCAGGATATTGTATAGAAAGCAATCGGGATTGTTATTTTATCAATGCACAGGGAGGAGATTGGGAGTGTTTTCATTTGTACTTTACTTCTGTGTGATAAAGGTTTATGAACAACCAGGCAAAGATTATCCAAATAACTATTTATAAATAGCTTCATTTTTTTTCCCTTTATTTGTATATTACCATGGTGGAAAAATTATTAAGAAGTTCTGTTTTCAAACTGTCTCTTCTATGACTTCTAAACTGGAAATGGGCAGTAAGGAAAGAACAGATTAAGTATTTCTAGACCTAAAACTAATTTTATTATATATTCTGTGATTCCAAGCATAACAACTGTGAACTCATATTTTTATTAAAAAATATTTTCATTATACAGTTAACATTTGAACTCACTAGTATTTTGGAACTATAATTGCTAGACATCAGATGAGCACCAAGGCACAAAACCTACATTTTATAAATTGTTATATTTAAAACTATTGTTGCCAATAGGAAGAGACTTCTTTCTGTTTTACAGCACCCTCCCTGAAACTAGTCTCAAATACAGAAAGCATAAGAGATGTGGAGTATATATATATATACAGCAAGAATTCTGTTCAGCCTTGCCTAGTAACTCTTGCCTTCCAGTATCAACTAATTGTTCCTATTCTTGAGACTTAAGTATGAAGTATAGGTTTCATTTTTTAATCTACATTTTAGGTCTCTCTCTCTTTCTTCTTCTTTCTCTTCCCGCTTTCTCTCTTCTTTTCATTCTCTTTCCCTTATTTTTCTCCCCTTCCCTCTCTGTCACCTTTCTCTTCCTCTTTTTTCCCCTCCTTTCTTCCTTTAAAACAGAAGATTAAATATCCCCTCCCCTACATTTTCTTTTTTGTGAATCACTACTGTTTTTAGAAATCACTATTATCTACATCAGTTTTTTTTATATTTTTAATGTAACATTGTTTTCATTTAGCTCACATCAGTAAGATAGCTTAGTATGTTATATCCTTCTAACAAAGACAGAATTAAGCAAAATGTATTATCCTCTCTCACAGTCAAAGAAATTGTGTACTATAAGGAATTATACTTTTGTCCCTAAATTAAATCTGTTATTTTTCTAATAAATGAAATGGCTTTATAATCAATAACACTAATCAAGAAAATACTTCCACACCTTTTTGGGTATACAAAGGTAAGTAAAAAAGCATTGCTACTTTTATTAAACAAAAATATAAAAATGTGAAGCTATTGTTTCTTGACATCTCCTCCATCTAGGTCTATAGACTTCTGAAGGCAGTGTTTCCATCTTTCCAACCCTTCCCTGAAGAATTCTGTACTCTTCCATTTATACCTCCTCGAAACAATAGTTTTAACATCCTTGAGGGACTCAAATTGTATTCCTTTTAAATGTTCTTTGAGTTTGGGGAACACAAAGAAGTCTGAAGGTGGCAGATCAGGGCTAGAGAGTAGATGGGGTTAGGTTTCCCAATGAAATTCTTGTAGGACAGCCCTTGCTCCCCTCGAGGATGAACAGAAGTATAGTCAGGATGAAAAGAAAAATTCCTTGATGCTACTTTCCTGGCCTTTTTCTTACCACAGCTCTTTTCAACTTGCTTGAAACTTATTCACAAAAACCCCCTTGCCCCCCAAATAGTCACTATAACCTGAGTTGACTTCAATTTGTCCTTGAATTTAACTGGCCCAGCAGATCCCCTTGGAAGCCACTGTTTTCGTTGGACTGTTTTTTGTTGTTGTTGTTTAAAGTACCTTAGTGAGACTAAGACAAGAGTATTACTGAGAAAACTTGCCTGCAGTCATTCACTGATCAGACAGACATGTTGAAACACATTTTGTTTGGAATAAACTCATACATGTATGAACTGGAACCCTAGTAGCAATACTTTTGGCTTACCATCGTATATCTCTTCTGTAGCCAGGCATTTCATATGTAATATAATTAAAAGTTGAAACAAAAGTAATTTCTACTTATAAAATTTGAAAGGGTAGGTTTTCTGTGTGACCTTTCAGCAGTGGTGTCACTAGGGTTGGTGTTAACGCCCCCACATGGGTCTCCTCCCACGCCAGACCATAACGAATCTGCAGTAATGTTAATTATCAATTTTAATCATAGAATAATATGTGATAAACACAGTTGTAGATTGCTTCAATATAACATTTCTTAGATTATATGAATACTAGCAACAGTGTTTATAAAATCTTTCTATATTAAATTGCAACATTATTAATTACATTATTAGTAACTAAGCGGCTTTTAAAATTTTTCGACTTTTTCCTTTGTTGTTACTTCATTCTCATAAAAGTTATTGATATAGGTTCACAAATGCTGCTTACCACAATAGTGTAGCTAAAGCATCAGAAAATTGTATAATATCATCAACTATAAAAACACTGGTGGCAGCAACGAATACAACAGTGTGTGCTTGTAACTTCTGCAGATAAAACCAGGTGATCTGAAACATCATTGTAATTGGGTAATAATGACAGCTGACTGGAGCACATTTGCTGTTGTTGTTAAGTGTCATCGAGTCGCTTCCAACTCACAGAGGCCCTGTATAGGGTTTCCCAGGAGCAGCTGGTGAGCTTGAACCGACAACCTTGTTCAAACCAACCTTGAAGTCCAGCGCATTAACCCACAGTGCCACACTAGTCTGCCCCAGACTGGAGCGCATTAGAAGGTTCAAAAAGTAAATAAGCGTAGAGTTTTAACCTATAGGTATATTGATACATGTAAGCTGGACTTACGAAAAATGTTTTTGTTATTATAACGACATGGGATATTTTTGTAAAAATAAATTTCTGCTGAAACACTGCACAAAAATTTTATAGACAGTCATTTTGGTGTCACCTCCTCTGACAGTGTCACCCGGTGCTGTCCACACACTCCCTAACCCCCTAGTGACTCCACTGCCTTTGAGTTTGGATGATTTGACCAGCATGGTGCCCAACTTTGGGAGGTAAATTATAGCATAAAGAAAACTAAGCATGTGTATATGAGGTTTTCAGTCTTTATGCTCATCAAGAAGTTAGTGGTTTAACCTGCATGAAATACACAATGGGCTAGATTCTTAGCCCCTTCACATATCTATATCTGTATATGGATATATAGATATAGGTAGATATACATAATGTCTCTCATAAGGGCTAAAATGAGAACTAAAAGAATGAGAATTCAGTTGAATATAATCAGTTAGCAGGGTATATTAATGAGTTCTCTTTATGTTTTACTGTGATGCCAAGTATGTGATGTATTTTCAAACATTTTATAATAATTGTTCTTATGTTAACTGGTAGGCCTGATTTGTACTTCTGATGCTTTTAATGTTCTTTTAAAATAATATTTGGAAAATAAAAATATTAAAACTCCTAACCTTTCTGAACATCAGACTGTAACATAATGATTTCTGTCCAGTCATTCATTTAAAAACCAATGGAGGGTGGCAATGATCATTTTCACATTATGGGTGGCAATGAGTTGAATCTCACAGAGAGAAAATTATTTTCCTTATGAGATAAAATAACTTGTTTGATGATATTTTGTTATATATACCAGTTGCCATAAAGTTGACTTCAAATCATGATGATCCATATTTATCAGAGTAGGGTTTTCAGTGGCTAATTTTTTGAAAATAGATCACCAGACCTTTCTTCTGAGGTGATTCTAGGTAGAGTTGAACCTCCAGTATTTCGGTAGCAGCCAAGAACACTAACCATTAAATTGGGATTTTTTGACTGAATCATCTTTGGAATATGTAGACTCCTATTATCCTATGTAATATGTATCCTCAAATTAACCAGAATAATTAACACTAAGGTTAATTATTAAACTACATTTCTCACCCAATGGGACAAGATTGAATGAACATTTCAGTAATTCCTTTGAAATGTTTAACTTGGAAATATATAGAGAATTTAAAAGTATTTTATTGTTTTATCAGTTTTAAGAATCAAAAAGCATTAATTTAAGCAGAAAAGGATTTAAAATAGGAAATGAAATGTCTACAAAATCATCAGATTAGATTTGGGCAGGACTCCAGGATAAGTCTCAAAAAAAAGATTCTACAGTAAAGCCACCTGCTCAGCTAGTCAGGGAGTGCTCTTTCTGCTACAACCAGGAAGGGATGGAATCAGGTCTCCCCTGGACTTTCGACTTCAAGTACCCAGTGCTGAAGTTATCATCCAGTGATCAGGATGCTGCTGTTACTGCC